TATTTAATCAACATTTAATAGGTTTTCATATTTTATTTTCATAAAACAGTTTTACAACATTTTCTTAGTATGTTTGTTCGAACAAGTTTCTATTATTGCATTATTATCAGTAGTCTAAAGTAAGTTTTCATATCTAAACAATTGTTTGTATATTATTTAAATGATTGAAAGTGTATTCAAATTGCCAAAAAAATTAAAGGCCACAAAAATTGTTTAAATAATATATTTATTATAAATAAAATTTCATATTGAAGTGCTAAATATTAGCAAAACAATTATAGTAAATTCGTTCAAAAACTAATTTCATAAATCTAATTTTTTTTTTACTTTCGGCTTTTTATTAATAATTAATATAATTTTTTTTTTAATAGACTCACTAAAGTTCTGAATAAACCTGTTGCTTATAGGAAATATAAGTGTTTTTTTTATATAAAAGATAGTTAAATATTAACAATGCAATTATAATAAATTCATCTAAAAAATAATTTCATAAAATTGCAGATTTTTACTCCAGGCTTTTTATTAAATAAAATAATTAATTATTACTTTTTTAATAAAATCACTAAAGTATAGATAAACTTGTTGCTTATAAAAAAATATATATAGGATTTCAATATAAAAGTTAGTCTATCAATTTACTTTCTAAAACCTTTCTAAAACAAAATTTATACAAAATGTTGAAAAAAAACACGTGTTATTCCATCCTCAATATTATTTATTTTTTTTAGTTTAATATTAATTAAGCCATTAAAAAATTGGGCTATTAGGCAGTATACCATAATTAATAGAATTCAATATTGAGAAGAATATTTTGTATATACGGTATACGGCTATATTTTGTATAGCCTTGAATATACGGTTTATATGGAAATAATAGCTAATAGCTAAAAAATAATTTCATAAAATTGCAAATTTTTCATTTTAGGATTTTTTTTAGTAAATAATTATTATAAATTTTGTTAATAGAATCACTAAAGTATTGCTAAATTTGATGCTTTTGGAAAAAATATACAGGATTTTAATATAAATGGTAGTCTACTAAATTACTTGGTAAAATCTTTAACGAAAGTTATTCAAAATTTAAAAAAAAAAACGTGTTAGTCCATTTTTAGAGTAATTTAATTATTTTGAATTTAATATTGATTAGTCCATTAAAAAATACAAAATATGTGCAACTTGCCAATAGGCAGGATACTTAATAGAATTAAATATTGAGAAGAATATTTTGTATTAAAGCTTTGAATATTATACGGTTTATACGGAAATTATAGCTTTTTTGCCTAATTTAGTATGTTGTTTTTTACTAGTGCCCTTATTGTCTTACTTTTCCAGAATAAGTACAGTATTACTTATAGTATATCTAAACTTGATACTTGTAGAAAAACTAAATATTATTTCTGTATAAAAAACTCTCCATTAAACTTCTTCGATTTATTTATACAAAATATTTTTGAGGTAATAATAATTAGGCCATCTAGACTTAAAAAAACGTAAAAAAAATTGTGTGTACCCTGCCAATAGGTAGCATGCCATCATAAATAGTGTTTGTAGAATCTTGTAAAGTTTTATTGTTTTCAAAAATAAATTTTATCACCACATGTTCGGACGATTTGAGAAAGAGTATTTTTATCGACCGTCGGCAAGTGGTCGATATATTTCAAGTGTCTGTTCTTGTTTTAATTCCTATCGAATGAGATGGAAATTCTTGGTAGAGTGGGCAGTAGTTGTTTGTCTATTTATAAAAATTACTAATATTACAAATCATTGCCTAAAAAGTTATCTGGGAAAAATCATACCACTGAAGAAAAGATCTTCTATCGAAGTATAGAGGATCATCTACCTCTTTTATCTATTGAGATGGAAATTCCTGGTACATTGGGCAGTAGTTGTCTGTCGATTTATAAAAAATTCTATTACTACAAATCATTTCCTATTTTTTTTTGTAAAAGTTATTTGGGAGAAATCGTATGCCACTGAATGGCACGTTAGAAGATCCTCTATAGAAAGATCATCTACATCTTCTATCTATTGAGATGCAAATTCCTGAGTAGTTGTCTGTCTATTTATAAAAATTATAAATCATTCCCTAAATTTTTGTAAAAATTATTTGGGAGAAATCATACCACTGAATGGCACGTCAGAGGAAAGATCCTTTATCGAAGGATAGAGGATCATCTACATCTCTAGGAAATTACTGGTAGAGTGGATAGTAGTTGTCTGTCTATTTTTAAAAATTACTAATTGCACAAATCATTCCCCAAGTTTTTGTAAAATTTATTTGGAAAAAATCATACCATTCAAGCACACGACAAAGGAAAGCTCTTCTATCGAAGGATACAGGATTCATCTACATCTTCTATAATGATAATATAACGATAAGATGGAAATTCCTGGTAAAGTGGGTAGTAGTTGTCTGTCTATTTATAAAAATTACAAATCATTCCCTAAATTTTCGTAAAAGTTATTTGGCAAAAAATCATGGCACTGAATGGTACGTCAGAGAATCCTGTATCGAAGGATTTGAATCTTCTATCTATTGAGATGCAAATTTTTGGTACGTTGGGCAGTAGTTGTCTGTCTATTTATAAAAATTACAAATCTTTCTCTAAATTTTTGTAAAAGTTATTTGGGAGAAATTTCTGGTACATTAGGCGTTAGTTGTCTATTTATAAAAATTCCTATTATTAAAAATCATTTCCTAATTTTTTGTAAAAATTATGTCACTGAAGGACACGTCAGAGGAAAAGTTGACAATGACGACAGATCGAGGACAATTGTCTGTCAATACGATTATAGTTTTTGACAGGATTGTATCTTTGGTTCAAAAGAAATATTTTTAGATCATCTGGTTTCGTAAATTTGTGACCAGAACTTATCATGTATCATTTTGTAGTCCATTAGTAAAAATTAATTGATAATTGTTACTTTGTATCTGGTGCCCATTTATGGGCTTTGAGTAGTATTTGCGAGTTTTTATTTGCTAAGTTTGTATTTTGGACATATAAAACAATTGGGGTGATCCTACTTAAATTATTTACTTAATAAATTTACTTAATTTTTTTAAATTGACTTCATAGCATTTTTTTTTAAATATGCATATTTTTCAAGTGATTTTTTTATGTAAGAATATTTTTATACTGAAATTCAAATTTCAGGTAAAATAGAAAGGCTTCCATATATTTGTTTCTTCGAAAACTTTCGGATATTCCAAAATTTTAAAAAGTAAATAAATAATAATATGCGCTTTGTGATTTTATAAAATAAATTAGTAGTTTTTAAACTACTTAATGGAGAAAATCAGTGGGAAATCGGATTATTTTCATAAATCCAGAATGAAATAAAATGAAAGATTTACATTCACTACAGATTTTTTAAAACTTGAAGCTTGTTTTTAGAAAATGTTTTTAAAAAAACATCAGTCTTGTGAATTAAAGTACATAGATTTTTTGAAAATTAATTATATAAACTTCCTATGGGCATTTATTATTATTTAATCCTCAAACAATAATTATTTTGTTGAAAGCTTAATATAAACTATATAAAATGTAAGACTTTCTTTTAAGTTTTAAAAGATTTAACATAATTATTGGCACCTTTTCACAATTATTGGCATTCTAATTTTTATTTTACTGTTCGAAATTATAATTAAACTTAAGCAAAATATTAATTAAAATATATAAAGTAATGTAATATATTTTTAAAGTTTTCAATTTTTCTCTTATATTCTTCTTTTAGATAAATTATTTTTTTGCAATAACTTTTTATTTTTCACAGAAAATAGTTTTTTTTTTCAAAAAATTTGTACTGTTACAAATTTAATTATTGTCTTCTCCAAAAACATGTTTTACAAAAAATATACTAAGTTCATAATTAATACACATTTTGTAATTTTTTTGAAGAAGTTTTATTATAATTTATTAGTTAATAATTAATAATTAATTAATTTAAATTCAAAATCAACATATTTTTTAAAAGTTTTCAAATTTCAAAACAGTTTCTGAAATTTTTAAATTGGTTGGTCTAAAACATGTGAGAAAAATAGTGCACTTTTTTACTAATTATAAAAAAATCAGATTGATATACACACATAATGTGAGAGTTTCTGAAATTTTTGAATTGATTTGTCTAAAACCTGTGGGAAAAATATTGCACTTTTCTACAAATTATATAAAAAATAGGATTGATATACACACATAATGTTATAAATTTGGGACGAAACAATTCAGAATGACTTGCAACGTCGAAAAAACATGAAAATAGAAAATCGGTTTTAAAATTTCAAAATTGTAACTATTTCCATTTGCTAATACCGAGATTTATATGAATGCATCCGAGAGGTTAAATATTGTATTTTTTACTATTAACTATAATTTTTTTTTAATTATTATAAAACCTAGACGGAGGTATTAACGTTTTAATGTAAAAAGTTTATTTGTTTAAATCACAAATTAATATTTTCACACAATAAAATTATTTTTTATGAAATCCAAACATACATACTATCTTATGCGGACTTATAATAATCTTAAATCTTTATTAAAAAAATACCAATAAATATATCTATTTTTGAAATAATATTAACCCTTTCGACTCGGATGCTGCTGCTCCGGCGGCAAAATTCATATGAATTCGCGAGTGGAAAGTGTTAAATTAACACTGTTAATATAGTATTATTTTTTAAGAAAAATATAAAAATACATATGTATTATTTTTGTTTTTGTCACAGCTTTAAACTGTCTTGTTTTTATTTTTTATTTATTTTTTTTTCTTATTTTTTATATTTATTAGCGTTCTTTTATATTTTAAATCGTTTTACTATTTTACATAAGTACTTGCATAATACCTGAACAAGGTATTCAGATTAAAAGTAGTAATTTAAATTTAAGGATCAATATAATCTTTATGAAAATTACTATAATTAATAAAAATATTCTATTCTATTAATGAATATATAAGTAAATTATAAAAAACAAAACTATATCTTTTTTTCAAACACTTACCTCCGTAAAATCTATCAAAACTTCTTCGGTACCTCTGAAAAGCTCTCGGCATTTTTTACTTGCAAATTAAACTTTAATTCAAATTTAAAAACACTAGAATTGTCATTACACATTTATAAACAATTTAAATCTTTACTTTCTTGGTACACATATGAAACTAGATTTGTACGTGTCTAGAAAAATGCACATTGATAAATAATTTATTTAGTTTTTATGGGTTGTGTATCGTAGGTATTTGTTTAAATATTTCTCTATTTAATTTAAATTTATTTCAATAAGTTTTCACTACTAATTTCTAATTCCAAAGTTTTTGTTTGTGTTTGTTTTATTCAACATGTGTTTTACGTTCGGCCGACGGTTTCGAACTAATCCTTGTGCAGCTTCCGCCACTGATTTTATATTTGGAATATATATTTCTACTCTCGTCTTAAGGAGCAGAAAAGACGTGTGTGTTGAAGAGGCACACTTGGGGAAAAAATCTAACACATTGGGTATAAAAACTTTTTGAGATTAGTATAATATTTGTATTTTTTAACCCAGACTGGGTCTTTTGTCTGGGTGTGTCGGGCTCAATTACAAACTTCCAGTAATGGTAATTTGTTTTTGCTAAAAAATCCGATTTGCTAATTTTATGTTTTCTCGACGTTTCAAACCACTCCGAATCCAATGAGACCAAATTTGAAAAAAATGTATTTTTTTATACCAGGCTAGGTCTTTTGTCCGGGTATGCCGGGTTCAATTGTTAACTTGAAGTTTGTTTTTACTAAAAAATCAGATTTGTTAATTTTAAGTTCTCTCGACGTCTCAAGCCACTCCGAATCGAATGAGACCAAATTTGGAAAAAATCTATTTTTCATGCCAGACTGGGTCTTTTGTCTGAGTATGTCGGTTTGTTTTTGCCAAAAAATTCCATCTGCTAAGTTTACGTTTTTTCGACATTTCGAGCCATTCTGAATCGAATGAGACCTAATTTGTAAAAAATGTATTTTTCATCCCAGACTAGGTCTTTTGTCTGGGTATGCCGTGCACAATTACAAACTTCCCGCATAGCAGTTTGTTTTCGCCAAAAAATCCGATTTGCTAATTTCTTGTTTTCTTGACGTTCCAAGCCATTGTGAATCGAATGAGGCCAAATTTGTAAAAAAAAGGAAGGGAAGGAAGGAGAAGCTTGTTTTTGCTAATAAATCCGATTTGCTAATTTTGTTTTCTAGAATTCCAAGCCATTCTGAATCCTATGAGACTAAATTTGAAAAAAAAGTGTTTCATTTATCCCAGACTAGGTCTTTTATCTGGGTATGTTCGGACTTAATTAGAAACTTCTCTAACTTCTAATTAGAAACTTCTCTTGTAAGTGAAAGTTAGTTTGCTAATTTTATGTTTTCTCGACGTTTTGAAAAACGAAAGCAAATTTGGAAAAATGAATTTATTATCCCAGACTAGGTCTTTTGTCTGGGTATGACGGACTCGATTCAAACTTCTCGCAGGGTAAGTTTGTTTTCGCCAAAAAATCCGATATGCTATGTTGTTTCGACGTTTTGAAAAACCAAACCAAATTTGAGATAAATGTTGTCTTTATCCCAGACTAGGTCTTTTGTTTGGGTATGTCGACTATCGCAGTTAGTCACTTATTTATGGGGGGAGGATCTAGAATGCCATGATTATCTCTATCATAAACTTTCGTGCAATTGTTAATTAACACGAATTCTTTAATGTTATTACATTTATAATATTATTATTATTATTATACAAACAATTATGATGTATTCTGCGTTTTCTATATATTACTCATTCACGTTTACATTGATAATGAAAATTAATTAAAATAATGAGTCATTCAAACATTTTATCAGCAATAATATTTCTCCAATGTTTGCTGAAAACTTTATGATAAAATTTATGGTAAATATCAACATTTAGAAAACAACTCATAACATTATTTTATTTTAATGTACCATTTTCCAGGATAGAGACCACTTTTTGTACGGGTTTATATAGATTATTATTTGCAGAAAAAAGATAGTAAATAATTTTTTAAGTTTCTGTTACAAATGTTTCTAATATTTCGAAGTGTATCATTTCTTCTTTAAAAACTTAATCGATACAAAATTAAGGCCTGAATTATTTTAGGATGTTCCTTGAGACCATGAACTTTTGCTTTGGAACTATATCTTTCGAACAGATTTGTAATATCGTTGCAACGAAAAATGTTACTATTTTCTGTTAAAAATGGTTTGGCCGATCATCTCGCAAAACTTATCAACATTAGTCCTTATCTAGTTACACTGAATGGCTTGTAACTTTTTAAAATCGATGCAGCCGTTTTTTATAAAATGTCGTCGAAACCTGAAACAACAAAGGGATTATTTCATAGACTTGCGTTGCATAGAAAAGAGCTATTGCTACTAACTAGTAATAATGTATAATTATTATAGAACAATCTAGCATTCCAGCATTCTAGATCCTCCTTCCCATAAATTTATGTTTAACTTCGATTCTGACCGTTAATGACATGTAACATGAAATAAATTATATAAATTGTTTAGTGTTTTTTTTTTGCACTTTTGCAAACGTTTCGAGGTTCTAATCCGTGTCATAATCTGTTTCAATATAAATAAATTTTGATGCATTTTTTTTTATAGCTTATGGATTACAATGGCAGATTATTTTTGTGATCAAGCGTTTTGTGAATACTCATACACTAATTTTAAGTACTATATTTTATCTCCAGTCATAATTTTATTATTAGTAAAGTGCGGTTTGAGAAACAACTGTCGTCGTCCTCTCACTATGGGGGCGCGTGCCGATTTCTACGAAGACATACAAATCAGTTCTATTTTATTTCAGCCTTCTGGTGGTTGTTGTGGTGACAGAAAAATGAAATTTAATAGTCGAACATTAATGTCATTGACTTTGAAGAGAAGGAGTCATTCTTTTTTTTTAGAGCTTTGCCTTTTAAATAGGAGACGATGAAAATGAGTTTAAGTGTAGGTACCCATAGATTGACTGAATTTTATCAAACAAATTTTTGTCGCTATTATTTTATTATTACCTTATTAGTAGCTTATTTTTGCCAGAAAATCCGACTTACTAATTTTATGTTTTCTCCACGTTTCAAGACATTCTGAATAATTTGAGACCCAATTCCCGTTTTTTTTTTATTAAGTGGATTATTTTTACGCGTTTGCAGTTTTGTTATTAATATTTTTTGTTCAAAACTATTTTAAAAAAAAAGTGGTTACAATATTATTACTTTATCATTACTTTGTTTTTGATACTAGTACTTTTTATTTGAAATGATTTTGTAGTAAAATACTTCATTTATTTTTGTTTATTATTTTTTAATATTACTTCATTAGTTATTACGTTATCATTTATATTTTATTTTTTAGTATTTGGTTGTATTACTTTATCATTCGTATTTATTTTTGCTATTAGTTGTTTGTTTTAAATTCTCTTTCTACAAATTACATTGTTTTAGTTATAAATTTTTTTATTTTCACTTTATTTTTTTATTTAATTTTATGACTTATCATGATTATTTTATTATTGATGATTTTAGTAATTTTTTACTTTTTTCTTTGTTGTGGTTGTTAGTATTTTTTTTGTTAAAAAATCTCTCCTTAAAAATTGGATTTTTACAAAAAAAAATCGTGCCTCCTAATTTTGTTTTATCGACGTTTTATGTCATTTTGAATCGTTTAAAAGCTACTAGATTTCTAGAGATAAAATTGTGAATTATAAGAGTCAATTTTTTTAAGATTTCTTTCAATAATTACAAATTGCATAGGAAAGCATTTAGTATTTTTAGCTTTTTAGTATCTTAAATGTTAAAATGTTACTCAACTGTGAACATTCTGAATTTGATTGGGGATATTGTGAAGAACAATTAAATTTTATGTACTTATAAACTAGCTAAGTCTAGGTATATTAAAGTATATTGTCTATTTAATTTTCTGGTTCTAAAAATCGTGAGTTTTAATTGATATCTTTCAAATACATTTAATATTATTTTAATTATAGTGCACAAACACATGTTTGTATGTCCTAAAATTGTTGCTTATTCCAAATTTTAATGAACTTATATAATTCAACCAATTTTCATAGGACTGTTTAGTGCACGAACATTTTTTAAGAAACTTAATAAATTATTTTGCAAAATATTACGTTAAGAAATAGATATTATTGAATAATTTAAATCAATGGTAACATTTTTCACACAACTAGAGAAGTTTTGTAGACTGCTCTTTAGGTAACACAGATATAAAAAATCTAACTAGATAAATATTAATTTTTGTGAACAATGCACAAATCCATGAACTAAAGATAGTAAAGATTTTGCTGGCAAAAATTTTGAAAACTATTGAAAAAATGCACTTCTTTGCTGGATTTCAAGTTTGTGAAAATTGTTCAATCGTTTTAGAGAGAATGTTGACGAAAATCAAATTTTCACTATCATTTTTTTTATGTGTTCTTAGAACTAAGCTACACACATGCACATACACATACATACAAACATTTCTCAAACTTGATCTCATTCGATTCAGAATGGCTTGAAACGTCGAGAAATAACAAGACATATAATTAGCAAATCGGATTTTTTGGTGAAAACTTGAACTTCTCCTTAAGGATGTTAAAAACTAATTATAATCTTTGTCCCTAGTAAGAATTTATATCACTTCATGATTTGGCACGTGCCTTTATGTAGCTCTTAATATGGCAGGTTGTCGTATTAAATCATTAGCTACTATACTGTTCTTCTGGCACGAACGCATGTTTATATATATATATATATATATATATATAATATATATACATATATACATATATATGTACATATGTAAAGGCTTAAAGAGCATCTGCCCTCACACTAAGAAAAAAGCAAGTCTAAAAACGTACGCAAAATGCACTAACGCACCAACGCTTCACTGAAATCTCGGTTTAAAGGGAGTTTATTTTTATAACTTATAACCCCGACGAATAATGAAGCAACAACCCGTGGATCCATCTGTTTGTATACATATATACATATTATATTATACACATTTATGTACA